ACTACTACTTCTACTACTACTGCGAATGCTACTAGTACGACTACCTCTGCAACAGCGAGGACGACGATGACGACGACCACGACAATTGGTACTGACTTGTACTGAGCTGGAACCGTGTCTATTGTTTCGACGGAAGCGGCTCCTGAAGAGTTCCCAGTCCTCCGGGAGGTGATTCGAGTCAAAGTCCACCCATCAGACTGTGATGAGCTGTGGGTCAGCTGCGAGCGTTTTGGCTTCGCAGCCAAGGCCACCGCGAAGACATAAACCCTACAGTAATGTTTCTTCATTGTGTTGCTTTAGAGTTCACACGGCCACAGGGGATTCTCCACAGGTGAGGCCAACGTCGTCCAAGGGCATGTAAATTGTTTGGATCATATTCAAGCAGCATTTGGCATCATGTGTGCTTAGATCATTCCATTCCAACACCAAACTCTCCAGAAGAAGCCTAATGCCTCACGTTTCCAAAGCATGCAGGCGTTTAGACCGACAACGGAAATCGTCAACACGTGCCACAGTTGCCACTGCACATGCCCTGGGATCAGGATTCTGGCGAAGTGCAGCAGCACACCAAAGTAGGATCCACGGACGGTTGGGCTTCATCATCGTTTGAATCACAGTCTGGCGACTTTGCTTCGGACTGATGATATGTGCGCACATCGGCCGCGACTGCCCCGCAAGCTGCATCTCGAAGTAGAGCAACATGCAACTGCCTTGGAAATAGTGTTCGGCGCAACAACAGTCGACAGTATTTGCCAGGGTAGTTTCAAGTATCAAGTTTAGTTGAACCATTACCTGATTGTGAGTCAGGACCAGGATACCAAAAGCCATGAGGCATACATTCCAAGGCACAGGAGGCATGACTCTCATGTGTACTCAACCGGCTTTGTAGAGCCAGCTAGCAAGATTGCCACGGGACTCGCTGCCACAGCGCGCGCGTGAAGTGAGTCTTCGCCATGCCGTGGACCTTAATGCCATCAATGCCATCCCTGGTGTCATCTTCCTCGACGCCGACGGAGCCTCCTCAGGACACCGACCCTCAGTTCCCAGAGACTCCAATACC